TATTTTTCTGCCAATAATAGCATAGTGTAGTTACAGTATAATGTTTTCTGTAAACATTTTGTTGCCTTACTAACTTTAACCTAATTTCATTCAGATTCAGTGACTGCTCACTAACAGGTTTTGTATGTTTTATTTTTCCAGTTGTTATTATGTGTGAGTGGTGGAATACTTATGCCGTCGTCAAACGGTAAGAGAAAAAGAGAAAGATCTTTTAATAATCTGTTTGGAGTAAAACACATTTGACAACTGTTTTTCCTCACAGGGCTTACTTTCTCAAAAATTAATGCAAGAAACTGGTACTAAAAATTTAAAAAAAAAATCAGCTGCGTGAGGTGGTGCATGCCTGTAACCCCTGCACTTTGGGAGTCTGAGACAGGAAGATTTCAAGTTCAAAGCCAGGTCAAGCACATATCAAGACGCTGTCTCACAAAGCAAAGTGCTGGGGCTGGAGGTCTATGCTGTTGTATTTGATCAATAGCACTGAGGACAAAAAGAGAAACAAAACAGGCACAGAGAGTAAGAAACACTTGGGACTTTGGCTTTGATTTGCGTCTGAACTTCAGGGTAACATTTTTTAACATGCTTTCTGAACTGAACCTCAGAGTCATGTCCCCCACTGCATCCCCCACCCCACCCTGCACTGTGAACACCCTACTTAGTGATGTTTCCTGGGAAACAGTGTGATGTCATAACCCTGTGACCATAGATCCCTGGGAACAAAGAACTTAGATTTGTCCCTGTGTGAATATATTCATACTCCATCACTTGCTTTAACCCTTCATTTAGCACCTGGGAAAATAGAACTTACTGGCTAATCAGGTCTCCATAGGAGGCCTCATCTCAACTCTTGAGTTCTGTGAGAAAATCTGGAGTGAGAGAGAAGCATCAAGCAACAGCAGTGTGCTCATCTACATGTGAGACATACCCACACCTCTTCACTTCCCTCATGGTACAGTATATCCTTGCTAAATGTGAAGGGCAAGTTTCTTTATCCTTTGTTCTTCCAGGCTTTCTTATCCCCATAACATGTTAGGCTAAATTTTCTGCACTGAAATTTACTCATATAGGCTATACTCATAGTTGGAATTTGGGCAGCTGTACATAGTTTCATAATTACCATTATAATCAAGACACAGTACATTTTGATTATTCCCTAAACTTTCCTTTTGCTACCTTTAGACTCAGTTCTCTCCCATTTCTTTGGTGTGACGCCAGTCGACTATAAATCTGACTTCTCTCACCATAGTTTTTGTCTTTTCCAGGCTGAAGTTTAAGGGGTTGGGAGTGTTGAGCACTTGCCTAGCATGCCGAGACTCTGAATTTGAGTACCTACCATAAAAACAAACTATAATACCAATGGAATAGCATAATATTTAGTAAGCTGTATATAGTTTATTTCACTTAACATGGTATTTCATGATTTATTCCTCTTGTAGCACATATTATAACTTTTCCTTTCTATTGCAGAGTAATATACCAATATGTGTATATATCATTATTGATTTAGCCATTCAGTAGTAATGGTAATTTCAGCATTTATATTTTTGTTAATGTTTTTAGTTAGTATAAAAAATAATGGGTTTCATTATAGAGACAAGGTCTCATATATCCAAGTCTGACTTCACAGTCCTTATGTAGCACATGCGTGTAAGCCCAGCACAGGAATACTCTTACTTGATAGATGAAAAATAAAAGTTTATGGAGCAATATTTGCACAGATGAACTAGGATTTGAACCCTGAGTCCTTGAGACCCAGATCTCTCTCTCTCTCTCTCTCTCTCTCTCTCTCTCTCTCTCTCTCTCT